CTATATATTTTTAGTTGTCCAATTAATTTCTTTCTAATTGTAGTAGAGACGGGGTCTCGCTCTTGCTCAGGCTGGTTTCGAGCTCCTGAGCTCAAACAATCCGCCCGCCTCGGCCTCCCAGAGACCTAGGATTACAGGCATGAGCCACCGCGCCTGGCCGAGCAGAACTTTTAATAAATGTATCATATATGGTCAGCTTTCAATACACTGAAGTAATGGGAGACGGAGAATCATAACTAATCCAAAAATGTAGTTATTATAAAACTAGAGTCAATTCCTGATTGATTGGTGAGGTTTCAATCACTACACTATATTTAAAATTTTAAAAAGTCCTTCCCTACAGGCCAGAATGACAAGCATTGATTGGTGACCCAGTGACGGTCTAGGCTATCAGGGGAGGTGAGAGAAAGACCAGTCACTCTGGTTGAAGCTGGGGTGGGAGGCTGAAAGCCATGACCCTGAAATCACCTTCTCCCCTCCCTCGCCCACTGCCTAGCCCTCAGCCATATATGTTCTTCCTCCAAGCCTGGGGGTGGGGTGGGGGAAGGAGACAAGTAATCAGTGATAACTAGCTACTGCCCAATTATCCAACCCTGCTGGGAGACAGCGTAGATCCCTGGATAATCAAGAGCTGACTACAGATGGTCAATGTTTTCATCATCGTTACCTGAAAAGACAGAGTAAATGGGTTGATGTATGCATGAAGATTTAGCATGATTTGCTGAAGGGTTTCTAATGCTTCAGGATTTATCAGAATACATAGGTAAGAAAGCTCATATACTAAGGAAAGTAGCTGAAAATTATCAATTTCATTCATAACTACTGAAAGACACCCAAGTTATTTCAAAGAAATCTTGCCAATCCTACTCCCAGGAGTTTCTTGGGACAACACTTTGAGATATGTAGTCTGACCCACCTGAGCAGTTCCTCCAAGGGCTGTTCATGTTCTCTCTGCTTCAGTCGGCTAGTAAGGACCTCGAGGGCTGAGTATAGTAAATTATGATTTTTGGGTTCAAAAAATCCACTCCTAAGGGAAAATCAAGGTAAGATGGGTTAGCTTAGTTTCAGGAAGATTACTTGGACAGTATTTGAGGGGCCCCTGGCTCCAGTCTGTACCCTCAATAAGTCAACAGAGTTTAAAAAAGAATTTAAAGCACTCAAGAACCAAATTGAATTACAGCTCTAAGTATCAGATTAGAAGTTGAAGTGTACCCAAAATAGTCTTTCCTTAAGGACCAAACAGTCCTCAGAGGTTTATTTTCAAGGGAAGGAAAGCTCTCCTTCAGTCCCTATTGTTTGGAAGCAGTGGAGAGAGAGGGGCAGACGGCTATCTAGATGTTACCTAGAAGATAAAATCAACAGGACTGGGTAATCAGATGTGGGAGAGAGAAAGGGTAGAAAGTGAGGGAAGAACAAAGAATAACTCCTGGTTTCTGGCTCAGGCAGCTGGTGGTACCATTTACCAAGCCAGGCAAAGCTGAAGGAGCAGTGGTAAGGATGATACATTCCATTTTGGAATGTGATGAGTCTGAGGTGTCAATGACACATCTAAGGAGGTGTTGAGTAGGCAGTTGGATATAAATGTCTATTGCTCAGAAGATAAATTTTAGCATAAATATAAGCCTGGGTAAGATTGCCCAGAAAAGTTGTATAATGAGGGCCCAGGGCTTAGCCCTGACAAACAGATGTATTTAAAGGACACACTTCCCTCATTTCTACTTTTGTCCATGCTGTGCCTTCCAACTGGTTCCTTTACCTTCCCCTAAAGGCCGTCTATACCTTCAAGGGCTCAATCAAGTCCCACTGCTTCCATGAAGGTATCCCAAAATACCCCAGTTCCCACTGTGTTCAGCTGTTTACCATATAATCTGAAATTTATTTACAACTTGTTTAAGTAACAGTGTCTTCAATAACAATTTTCCCCAGCTTTATAATAGAAAGCTTGCTACAAGAAACTAGACTAAGAATCAGATGGCCAAATTAGGTTAGCTCATCAGCAAGTCACCTAATTTGTCAAATAGTGGCTCCCTAAGACTCAGAGGGTAAAAGATAAAATGAAATGATACAGACAAAAACACTTCACAAAGAATAAAGCAGCATATTTACATAAAGTTTTGGGGCCTTCCTTCTTTTCTACATCTCAGTACCTTGGTGACGCCAAGTAAAAGCAAGTATATCCTCATTTCTCTCTACTACCACATTTCCTACATACTTACCAAGCAAAAAGCCCATGGAAAATCTGCAGTAGCCTCTGATAGCAGGAAGACATTATGCAGTACTCCTGAACTTGCACTCCTGGTCCATCAACCACACCATGATTCTCAGTGGCTAAGCACTAAAAAGGAAAATGACTTTAGGACAGTTGCTTCAGCAATTGCCCTCATTTTCCTTTAAATTTTCTGAGCCAAAAATGAAATCTTGTGTTAACTTAGTAATTTCTAAGTCTCTAAAATGATAAAATAAGTATCTGACCTGAAAATAATTGTGAATATTCTCCAGATGGTTACACATTGGGGTCAGCAGTTGAACAACACAATGAGCAATTTCTTGGGAAGATCTCTGACGGAGATGTGAGAATCCAACATCCCGGCTTCCTTTATTCTATAATAAATTTAGAGTTATGGGAACTGCTAGGTAGCTTCTCTGAAACTAAGGATTCACTATGGAGTTTAGTCAAACTTATTTCACCAGGTAGGAGCAGATGGGAGGAATGAGTTGCTTGCCTAAGACTATATTCTGACAAAGAGAAAAAAATCTTGTTCCATCTTCAAATAATGGAGAGACTGGCATTTGTAGAGTAAGAAGAGTATTTGATTGAGAAGTATAGACCCATCATAACTAATGAGATAAACCTCACACAAAAGTAGAATCCTTTAGGTTGACAAGAATGTAGAGCAAATAGTAAGGACAAAGAAGAAAGAATCAAATAACTGGCTATATTAATGTTTAAATATTTACACTCCAGACTTCCATATTTTGTTGTTTTTACTGTCCAACTGCTTCCCCAGATGCTAGGTATACATTTGTATTATATGTTGTACACACATTTGAGGTTCTGGCCTCTCTAGACAGTCAACTATTATACTGAGGCTTGGGCATGAGCTTACTTTTGGGAGGCCATTAAAACCCAAACCTGAGTAAAGAATAGGATTCAGGAATGTTCAGGGCATTTAGAAAAACATTACTTCTTTGTTTTCTCTGTTTCAGAGTTCCTTTTTAAGGCAAGGTGAATATGGTCTAGCAATAGAGCTGCCCCCACTCTACCCAGTGACCCAAACACAATGCCAGAGAAAGTGACAACTTATTCACCACTAAGACCTCCTTCTTTCCAAATCCACTAAGCCCAGATCCTATGCTTCTGTCTAAACTAACCTTGAGGAAGGGGACTCTCCTGGTAACAGGAGGTATCAGCATATTCTCCACCTTCTGGGCAAGATCTTCCAGTAAGAAAAGCAGCTCAGGGGGCCCAAGTTGCACAACTTCTGTAGCCTATCACATGGAGGAGAGAGAGATTAATTCTAAGCATGTCCTAGTTATTTTTTTGTACATTTCAAGTTCACTCTTTCCAATGGGGAAAAAAACTGACTTTTAACAAAAAAGGGGAAAATTTCCCCCACATCATTTAAAGGATGGCTGCTGTTCTCTGTCAACTGATCAAAAAGTCAGGCATTTCCAAAATAAAACAAATTTGCAAATTATTACAATAGGAATCCAAGACAGCACAGTTTAGAAGACATACTTTTTTCTATAGAAATAAATTCCTCTGTATATCTTTCCAGCTGTGGACCCAAGATACATTTCCTAAATATCTTGTGATAACAAATGACTAATTCAAGGGAATTTCACTTTTTTCTGCTCGCTAAACAATCCTTGCATACTTACTTTCCCATAATGTTTTGCTACTATTAATTCTGGGCAGGATCCCAGAGTAATCCCAGTGTACAAACTACACATTTCCAGAAGCAGAACAGGTGAAATACAGTCTCACTTAAAACTGTTCACTCAACACACACTTATGAGCAATTTCCTAAGGGCAAGTTGATGTAGAAAGATTTTTTTTTTT